TTATAGTTACATACAGACTAAAGACAACACAGAAGAAGTCAGATAGAGATTCAAATTAACACAACACATAAGTCAGAGAGTCATAGAAGAAGAGGAGATGATTTTAGTTACACACACAACAGTAAACACAACACAGAAGTCAGAGTATCATAGAAAAAGAGTTCAGTTTATATATAGTTATTATTATTAGTTATAGTTACAGTCAGACCAGTAATGCCAGGCAGTTTGGCTCCTGCAAAGCAGAGCTTTCCACAACATCCTAAGCTGAGGAAAACAGCTACTGATTTGGAAGTCCGAAGCTCCTGTTGACTACTGTCTACAACACAACTCCAGGTTAAAATGCCCCCACCCAGCTACACTAGAACTGCAAGTATTATCAAAGGGACTAAGATAGCTTTTACGGGGCTTGTTCAATTTTACACAGACCCTGTACAACTTTTTTTTTTTTTTTTTTTTTTTTTTTCTTAAGAAGAAAAACATGCCTCAAGATCCACTAATTTCCACCAGTCCTGTGGCAAGCATGAGAGCACTGTCCTGACTAGTTTTATTTTCCTCCTGCTCTCAGTCTGATCAGCTAAGTGGTTGTGTGTATATTCACAGAAAGGATCAGCACACCCCCCAGTTCTGCATCACACACTGATCTCAGCTTTCTAGTCGTGTGTCCAACCCCACTCATTTCAGTTTAACTGAAGCCTATTAAAGTTAAATGGGGTGAGACTTTCAGGGAGGGCAGCAGAAGGAGGGGGAAAGCTTGTCATCTTAAATAACAAATAAGATTCACCAGAGATACACAAAGACTCTTGGATTGGAACGTCAAGACAGCTTTGTGCTGCATTCCAAGCTTTCAAAAACAGGCCAATTTTTGGGGGGAGGAGGGGAAGTGGGGGGGGTGATGAAAATTTGGCCTTCTGCTCAAAAATAGGACTGAGGAGAAAGAAGAGCCTCCATTTCACAGAACTGGATTTTTTTCTCCCCCTCCAGCAAGCAACATGAAAACTGTTGAAATTCAAAAGTTAGCTCAGCCGACCTCAAATCTTTGTAACTGGGGTTGTTTTTTTTTTCCCCCCCTTTTGTAATTTAGGTCACATTTACCATGTGACATTACATGCTTTGTGCAGTTAGCCACCACCTGGGTGGCTAAAGTGTCTAAGACAGAGGTGTTCAACCTTTTGGTTCTGCAGGCCAGATGACTGGTGTGAGGCCCATCTGCACACCAGGACTGGTCCCTACAGGTACTGGCTCCCTGTGGGCCCAGCACTGCCCCTTTCTGTCCCCTTGCTTTGGGATTGGGCCCTGGGGGCCCAGCGCCAGCCACTCCCACCCCCTGCATGCCAGGATTGGACCCTGGGGCCTGGCACTGCCCCCCACCCAGCCCCATGTGCTGGGATCTGGTGCCAGATCCAGAGTGCAGAGCCTGGGGCTTCCCACGGGTCCAGAGGTTTGGCAACAAGGGAGCAGGGCCATCATTCCCCCGCTGCCAAACTTTCAGGCCCACAAGCCTGATGACAAGGCACCACAGGGCAAATCTGGCCCACAGGCCTGAGATTGAGCACCCCAGTCTAGAACAAAATATTTTCTCTTTATAATGCTGTTGAACAGCTCCGGCATTCCCAGGAAAAGGAGCTTTGCTACTGAGCTCTAAAAACCTGTTCTTTCCTCCAACTAAATCTGATAAGCAACTTGTGGTGGGCAGACAGCAATTACATGCATTGTATTCAGAAGTTAATAAATGACAGCTGAATGGAGGGGGAAAATGAGAAACTTTGCTCCCAGCTGACAGAGATGAAAAGGAGTGGAAGAGATGGGAAGGTACAGCACATGAGCATCAGCTTGAAGCCTGACTATACCATCTGGAGACTCTCCCCAGCTCTCTCGCTCACTAAATGAGAATGCCAATCCTCTTCCATGACCATCTTCTACGCTCCTACAAGGCTTCAGACATGGTTGACAAAAGCCAAGCAAGGGGCATAATTATTTCCAGTGTTCCCCTTTGCTGTTCCTCAGGGAGATGGTCCATCATTATGGAGACTGCAAGCCACAGCACATTTTTCTGACGGGGACTTCAGCATGATTTACAGAAAAGGTATTCCCTCCCCACTCCCTCCCTGTGACACTTGCCAGCCAACAGCATCAATTAGGACTAATAACAATTTCCATACCCTTGTCTGTGGGCTTTTTTAGAGTGACCTGAGTAGTGGGAATATCCCGAGTATGTTGATTCAGTATCCATGGCACCGAAGGCCTGGCCCTCACCCGGAGGGAGGGACGTAGATCTCGTTACTCAGAGGATGAAGAGGGGTGCCTCAAAGGAAGTCCTTAATAAAAGTGCTTTCCTGGAGACTCTGCGCTGCCCAGTCATCGGTAGGTCTGACACACCAGGCAGTCAGGGACCTTCAGCAGTGAGACATTCCAAGGAGAGACAAGGAGGTGCCTTAATCCTCAGCATCAACCTGCGGGGAGAAAGATGGAAGTAAAGCAGCCACATCCTCATTGAGGTAGCCCTTGCCTCTTACCTCCAAGGTCTGTCTACATTCATCATACTTGTTTTTTGCTTAGACTAATACAACTGTTGCAAAGAGCTTCCAGTCTCTTTTATTTGGTCCTCCATAGGATTACGTAAGATATAGCCCGTTATCTGAATGCCTGAAGGACATGGCATAAATTGTTGTTAATGACAACATCATTAACTATCCCAGAGCAATTGCAACTCCCTTCTCAGAGCTTCACCAGGCTTCATCCTCTACAGTTGTCACTAACCATGATAAAGAATAGGTCTGAAATGCCACCAAGTCAGAACAGTAGCATTTTACCTACAACTATACAAGGTGCAAGACACTGAACTATCAGACCTACCACATGTGAACTAGGCTTGGTTTTCATGACCAGCAGCTGTGTGTGACCACTTTACGAGCATTAAAATACTGAAAACTGAATAGGAATTAAGTCATTATATCCCTTTGATACACAAAGGCTGATTTGGACCTTGAACAGTCAAGCTTTGTTCCAAACTTTCAGAAGTCATAAGAGAAGGTTAAGTCACAGTAACGTTAGTTCCCTACCATGTTTTTTTTAAGGCACTGTCCACATGCAACATCTCCCTGTATCTTTCTCTACAAAGAAAAAGACATTGGAACCACAGTCACGTGTCCTGTAAACTCTTGGAGTCCTGCAAGATGGTCCAGTGGGCATTAACCCCTTTCAATCCAAGGGACCCAAATTCACATTCCAAACTGGGTTATAGATGGATTTGATAAAGGGAGAACAGAAGGTAGGGGAAGGGAAATCTCAGCAGCCTCGCTTGTGCACATTACAAACTGGGTAGAGGGGCTATAGCTCAGATGCAAGTTGCTATGCCAGAGCATTGTGCTTGGCACAAAGGAGGACTCTTAAAATTTCCTGTCCAGGTCTATTCCTGCCTCTAGCCAGGGCCATAGTCCCCACTTCCACTGGCATTCCATTCACTCAGTTTTCGTGAGAGAAGGGAGATTGCTTTTATTAAACCCTCCAATTATTTTCTTCTCACAGCAATTTTCAAGCTGCTTCTAATAAACATTTAACCTCCCCCTGAAAAGAAGGAAAAAAATTAGCACGTCACTCAGCTGAGCTAATCTTTTTAACTGTAACCTGCAGAAAGACTTCTCTGACATTTCACAAAACTAAGTAGCTGAGTAGGTGTAAAGCATGCAAGGCTAAACCCCATATAAAGCCTGCTGAAAAAAAATACAACATCCTTGCTCCACAGGGCTCACAATCTGATGGTACAAACTGGAACAATACTACAAAATAGTACAGAGACCTTGGGGATTACAGGTGTTTCCTCAACTTGGGTTTGCAGAGATTTAAAAGGATGGGCCTTTGTGCATATTAACTGGGAAGGTGTTACAGGCATAGCAAAAAGGTAGCACAAATTTAGGAGGGTCATTACAAAGGTGGAGACAGGCAACAGCAGAACCATAGATACTTGGACTGTACACAGAAGAAAAACAAAGCCAGGACAACAGTGCATATTTACTAAGGGAAGAAAAGCACTGAAGGCATAACACGAGCAAAGGCGTCCCTGCTGGGGACTTCTCCTATAATCCTATTAAGTCACTGAGACTTGAAGAGAATGGCTTAGTGACTAAAGCACTGCACCAGCACAGGGGACACATGTTTCATTTCTCACTCTTCCACCAACCTACAGGGTGACCTTGGGCAAATTGGCAAGTCACTGTGCTTCTGCTTTCCCATCTACAAGATAGGACCAATACTGTTCTCCTTTGTGAAACACTTCAAAACCTGCTAATAAAGAGCACTCAGTGTTATTTTAGCGTGACAGAGCAGGGATATCTCGAATTCTACATAAGTGGTATGGACTCTTACTTCTAACTACATACTGTTTGGGGTCTTTGATGACAGCCAGTTTGTTATATACTGATCATAAGCCTCAGCCACAAGGAATTACAACCCCCCTACCCAGTGGCCAGAGGGAGATCACTAAATGTACAACAATTAATGCGGGGGGGGGGGGGGAACCAAGAGAAAACTAGAACAGAAGTGCAGGTTATAGGTAGGGACCTGTCTAAATTGTATCAGAACTTAATGGTGCAGTAACACCTTTAAATCTTGCTCTTTTTACACCCCCCCCCCCCCAAGAGACAATTAATGCTGCAGCATTTGCCTCTCTGCCACTGGGGTGGGGGTGGGAAATGTGGTGAAGAGTGGGATTAATAGCACCAAACTTCCACTGCAATTTAGATAGGTCCCTAGTTATAGGTTAATACGAGGGTGTCAAAAGAGGATACAGAGCAGAGCCCTAGATAGCCCAGAACTGCCACTGTGAAAATAGGAAATAGTTTGTCAAAATACACTGAAGACATCCATGGAAGAGGACCACATCCCCACAACAGAGGAAGGCAAACCACCCACCTAGCCCTCAGTCCAAGCTGATCTAACCATGGAGCAAAGTTCCTTCTCGATCCCAAATGTGGCAAATCTGTCTGGCTTTGAGCAGAAGACCCTCTAGCCAGCATCATTTAACGCTCAAGGGACACCCTTGACATGCCTGTTCCTTGAACACTGACGACAGTCTCTAGGGTGGAGATGGCAGGAGACTGTGCGACTTTCTGCTTTGCAAGTATAACGAAGCACTTCAAGAGAGACAGGAAAAGCATACAGGCTTTCTAGGCATGACCCACAAACAGGTAGTTCCCACTTTGAGGCAGGGCAAATCAATACCGAGAACAGACCATGCAGCAGTACTGAGAAGCATTTTTGCAAGGCTAGCGAACGAATACCAGGGCAGGCAGGATCACGCCAGCTCCCGTTTGCTGTGTAAACAAGAGCAACAGTTTTGACAAAGCTCCATGCAAAAAACCCCCCCAAAAAACAACAGGAGGGCCCCCAGGAAGGTAAGCCTCCTGGGCAGGTGCCAAGAGCAATAGCTGTAACATGGGAATTTGGCAGTACCTCACGGCCTCAGTCACAGGACCTGCGGTCAAATAGGAGCTCCCTGTCAAGGCAGGGCTGTCATGAATAGGCATCGTATATGCCTGTGTTTGGCTGGGAACAGGAAACTGCTCACTTTGCCCGTTATCCAGCCCAGGCTGGTTTTCCATGAGCGCCCAGATTTACTCCACTGAGGGCTGTGCTGGCAGCTGGCCAAGAAACCAAGGGTGTCCCTGAAGTTGGGTGCGATTTGGGGGTTTTTTTCCTTTGTAATACAGAGACGCAACCTGTGGAGAGCATAACCTTACACCACTCCATTGAGATAAAGTAGAAATGCCTCATAGCCACAAGAGATGAGAAGATGGGTGGCTTCTGCAAGGAGAGGCTTCAGCCTGGCTGGGGGCTAATGCAAATGTCCACAGCCTGGCTGTGGACAAAAGCCCTTCTGGATTTGGGTATTCCTGGTGGCATAGAGGCAGAGTTTATGGGACCTGAGCTTTCATATAGTGCCTTTGTTTTCATCACAATCCACAAAAGGTACTGCAAACTTCAACCCCCTATCAATCTAGAGAGCCCTCATAAGCCCCTAGAGAGAAGAGGATTCAAGGCAGCAGGCTGACAAGCAAAACAGGAGCACCTCACATCAGGATGAAGCACTATGGTCTTTACAGGGTGCAGGAGAGATCACCTTAAATCAGGGCCATTAAATAAGGAGTCTTGACCTTCCTGTTTTCACATGGCTGCAAGCTTCCAAAAATATTTCCTGCAAAACACTGGGCCCCAAAGCACAGGGAAACAAATCTCATCCCCGAGGAAATTAGTTGTGTCATTGCCTCCTGGCTTCCTTGAAGTCACTCTGCAAAAAAAGGTAAGTGAGAGATGTACACCCTTTTAAACAAAAAAGAGGGTTTTACCACCCATTCAATCTCAACCTCTCCCCACAAACACAGGATGCAATTCAGACACAGATAACTCTGGCACCACTCAGTTTGAAGCTTCACCCTGATGCAGAATGAACTCTTACTGAGATATCAAACCTTTACCAAATTAGAAGGAACTCGATGGTTTGTTCCCAAAGTGCTGCACATTTGGAAGATGCCATCTGGAGAACAAGTACTTGCAAATGTCCACAAGTACGCACATGTTTGACTAAGCATGCAGTTGGCCTCGATTGTTAAATGGCACCAGCTGTCTCTTGGCCAATGGCTGCCTGTTAGCTAGCGCACTGGGGAACTTCCTCTCTATTTAACTTCTAAGCTTCTTTACTAAATTAAATAAGAAAACCCTCAAGCTACATGAAGGCAACGTTAGGGCTGCAGAGTTAGAAATAGTAGAAGAGCTAGGATATTCATGCATTAAAGTGTTCCCAGAGCAACATTAACTTGGCTGCTTTGCACTTCAGTAGTATTTTCCTATTCTGTTTTCTCAAAGTTGAGTAACTTCAAATAGTAAAAATTACAAAAGCAAAGTGCTACAAGCAACACAGCCAAATGACTCTCTCAAGAATGTTCACTTTCTTATTTCTCAACTGGGCCCCAATCCAGACATTGGTCCATGTGGATCCAGAATTGGGGCCTTTCCATTATTCAAGTTCTATATCCCATGAGGGCTTTTAGAGGAAGAATGCAATTAATCATAGAAGAGTAGGGCTGAGGGACCTCTGGAGCTCATTTAGTCCAATCCCTTGCCCAAAACAGTATCATCCCTATTCAAACAATACCATACTAATCCAGGTCTAACTCGTTACTACAATCAACCTTGCCACATAACTATAAGGCATAGCACCCTAACCTGCCAAAGGTAAAGTATGGGAGGATAAGGACTGTCAGGGTGCTTGCAGACATTGGGGTGGGGGGGGGAGAACAAAACAAGAAGTGCACTTTACTTTGACCCAGCTTGCCCAGAGTCTGTAGAGATTGGGTGCTTCAGTGGGACTTTATGGCATTTTATCTAAAGTCAATTCAATCAGCTATTAAATGAAAGCACCAAAAAACACCCACTAAAGCATTCAATCTATACAGATGTTGGGAGAGCCAGGTCCAACTTCTGGGCATATGCTGGACTCCGCAGCATGCCAAGTTTAGTGTGCCAGATTCCCCTCCCCTCCCCTCCACCTCATCTGCCAGCAGCCTCAGTGTCCTGCTACTGCAAGCAGTTAAAATAAGCGTGAAAGATCCAAGAAAGAAAGAGAGCCATGCCCCTGACAAAGAGAAAGACAAACCCCCTCCACAGTAACTTGACCATGGGGTAAAGTTCCTTCCTGACCCCAAATAGGCAACTAGTCTGACCTTGAGCAGAGGGGCAAGAACCTCAAGCCAGGAACCTCTGGGTTTCTGTGGCATGTTTGACCACTTACTTTCAGTCATCGACAAACAAACTTATATTACAGGAGTGATATTTTTTAAGACAGAGATTTTTAAAGCATTTCCCCCCTCTAGATGGATAATAAATATGCAGGTGGGTCATCTGAACATGTAATTCAGGTCCAAAGATGCAAGTCTGTCATTTGCTTTGCAAAACACAACTCTGCCAGACTGACAAAAAGCCAGACTCTGGGTCTCAGCCCAGAGGCAAGCAGCCAGCCTGTGTAGTAGAAAGCCTTCTGCATGATTCTGGGCCCTGTCCCCCCTCTCCCATAAACATGCACATTACTTATCCGAAGCAGACCTTCTTTGTGGCTCCCTCTCCAGCCCAAGGGTTACAACAACATTCCCCAAACTTTTGAAAGTTGATTCACCCTCTGGAAACTGAAACCAACTGCACCCTTGTAGCTCCTCGCCCTACACTGTTGAAGGCCTATTTGTCTTCATTTAAACATCCTCCATTCCACCCAAGTCTCATCCAGCTACTCTTCTGTGGCTTTCACAGAAAGTTATGTCCTGCATTTCAATGCTTATTTTAGTCTAATAGGGATACATGCTAGCATGCTTCAATGAGCAGACACAGCATTAGTTAATTATCTTGGCTCCCAAGTTACGGTACCCTCCAAACAAAAGGAGCAAGTCCTACCTCAGGAACTATTGTTTCAGACTCTCTGCAAATTCAGGGAGGCCTTTCTGAGTCAATTATATTTTTTAGGTTTGTCACAACCATAATAGCCAAAGGCTTGTGTTTTTACATCAAGATTACAGAGAACTGAGACATCTATCTATCCATCCTCCTCCAAGTTTTGTGACTCACACTTCAGAACATTCTGTGCCCCTTATGCTTTGCAACAAAAAGGCCCTAAATAGCCAAGGAGGAAGAAGGGGCAGGAGTCACTTCTGGAGGTACAGTTAACTCCCTCTATTCAGATCTACTGTCCCCATTGCTTTGAAGAGAAGGCAGGAAAATTTCTAAAATAAACACCCATCTTAAAGAAAGAACAGCATCCATCCCCTGTTCCTGTGCAAACACTCAATATACAGGACACATCTACATGTATACATTTACTGCGCAGTAACTGAAATAACTGTGCAGTACAGGCACGCGCCTACACATGCACCCCCACGTACTGTATTGCGCGATTATACTGCACAGTAAATATGGCGACTTACACCGACTTGAGCGTAAATTTGATACCTACATCATATACTCCTGATTAGTTACTGCGCAGTAATGCACATGTGGACACCTTACTGCGCAATAACACTGTGTGTGTGGACTGGCTTGGGACTAACTTTAGTCCCAAGTCAGTCCACACACAGCATTAATGAGTTTTAATACCTGCACATGTAGATGCTGGCCAAGTCCCACTTGCTGCGCAGTACATTTAAACCCACATAAATGCACGTGTAGATACACCCCCACAGCAACAGCAGCAGCAACAGCCATTAGCAATGTAACCACCATTTCACACAGACTCCAAAGATGGTTCAAAGGCCAGAATTCTCCTACCACTGACCAACAGAGATGCTATGGATGCAGCTATACTGGGCAAAACAGGGGAAAAAAAAAAAAGTGTCATGCTGGTTCAAGTGCACTTACTTACAGGCACTGTTGTGTTACACAGACACAAAGCACAGCTGTGCTTCAAACCAGGCACCTTGTGCCAATATCGTATTCTAGCATGCCTTCACAGGACAAGCACACTTAAGCATACATGTTGCTTTAGCATGCCAGCAGCCATCCATAACCTGGATCACACTGGCCTTCCCCACCAATGCCTGCATCAGCAGGGGAAGAAAGAACAGGGAAATTTAGCTGAGGTATCATTAGCTTAGACACAGCTCGAGCATCTGCTTCACTTCTAAAGTTCCTGGCTGACGGCCACTGGCCGTTAACTACCTCTGTGTGGTTGAACACGGGCTGGAAATCCTTCCAGAATTTTGGCTTGCCACAGGGTTTTCATATGGGAGGTTTTTCTGTAACTCTATTCACCATTTATTTTTTAAAATTAACAAGTTAAATGACTAGAAGGCCAATACTGGTCCCAGCATTGCAGGCAGTTATGTATTCAAACCCCAAAGGAGGAAAAAAGCCAAGCCTGCTCAAAATAAAGATTCTTAGAAGGTTAAATACTCTGGAATGGTTTCTCATCTGAACAACACTTTTCCTACAAGTCTGAACACTGTCCCTAACTCCCCATATACTACCGCATCGCTTAACCCTTTGTTTAACATACCAGCACAGACACAGCCTTTGGCCTGAAAACAAAAAAACTTTGCACTCAGGAATTAGGATGATTTTTTTTCTGCACCCATCTGGTGTTTGTGACTATACTGTAACAAAGCAAGTAACACAATAGCTCTGCCCTGTGCTCAGAACTCTTCAGCTATACATCTTGGACCAGTGTTGCTCTAAAAGGACAGTCCCTTTCAGCCTAACTGCTAGAGGCTGGTGCTTTTGGAGCAAAAGGATCTCAGACTTATCTCTAAGAGGATGAGGTTCCAGGCAGACATGGTCTGCAGCACAGAGACAACCATTCAGTCCTGTGTGGCCATAATCTGCAATATCAGCCCACGGATAACCTGTAATAAAACAGCCCGTCTAACTCAAGTTGATCCATTAAAAAAAAGTTAAAAGGTCTCCCCTGAATAGCCTATTCTTGGCAACTCTGGGTATCTCGAATGTATGAAACTTGATTTATATGGCCCAGGTAACTGATGTATATTGGCAGACCCTTCCGCTCAGTTCTGCTTCGCGCCGACTCATTAATTAATAGCTCCCTCTTTCCTTTAAGCTCGGAGCTCAGAAACTTTGCTTGCACGCGAGGGAAGCTTTCCCTGGCAGCTGTGCAAAGCAGAGCTGTCGGTTTCATCAGAATTCAGGCATGTGCTCTTTTGACACACAAGACTGAAATTTTCAAAGCTAGGCCCTTAAGTCCCTACAGATGAACTGAGTGACCTGGAAAGAGTGGGTCCAGGCCTGCAATGCCAGCCTTGCTCGTGCTGGGAAGTGCATCTGGCAGACAGTGACCAAAGGGAAGCCACCTGCCCACCCATGCAGCTCCTGGCGGCCCCCCAACACCCACTGTGCCAGAAGGGACACGGGGAGTAGCCTGGAAGCTCCTGAATCACAGAAAAAGTTAGGGGTGGGAGGGACCTCAGGAGGTCACCTAGTCCAGCAGTTCTCAACCTCTTTTGTACCAGGACTCATTTGTAAAGATGGATGGCCAGCGCATGGGGCAGGTATCTCTGCCAGCCTGCAAGTGAAAAGCCAGTTTCCCCATGCTTTTCTTTCTAGAGGAGAACCAATTGTTTAAAAGTTTGCCGATCCATTTGTAATGGATATTCACCACCCTTTCATATAGTCTCCCCACCTACTTTTGGGGCAAGACCCCCGGGGTTGAGAAGCGCTGCTCCGGTTCAACCCCCTGCTCAAAGCAGGACCGTGCCCAAGGAGATCACCCCAGCCAGGGCTTTGTCTGGCCGGGTTTCGTCTACCCTAAGGGCGCAGGCACAGCCCTGAGCCGCCGCCTCCACCTTGCGCAGCCCAGGGAGGGGCAGAGCTCCCCGGCCCAGGGACCCAAGGGAGAAGCACCCACAGTAGCACCAGGCTGCGGGACAAGGGGCGGGGATCCCCCTTGCGGCTGCAGGGGAGGAGGGGGGAGCTGCCTCCCCTTCCACAGGGCAAGGCGGGGGGGCTCGCAGCCGCCTCCTAGGTGCAGGCTGCGGGAGGGAACAGCCACCCGAGCCCCAGCCCGACCCACCTCTAGCGGCGGCCACTCCATGCCGCTGCTGCCGCCGCCTGCTCCCGGCCGGGGCTACAGCGCTGCTGGTGCCGCCGCTTTCCGCTTCCTGTGCCCATTCGCCCCGCCCCGCCCCCGGCTCGCTGCGGCCACAGCGGGGTCGGGAGTGGAGGGAGAGGCGAGTGCTTGTGTTAGACTGAGTAGATCGCTGCAATGTATTTATTTTGTTTAATGTATTTCCTGGCAAGCTTTCGGGCCCAAGCACCCAGGCGTAGGAGAAAGGCTTGCAATCCCATGAAATGCGAACTTTCATCTCCACCTGGGCAGTCAGGACTGGTGGTAGAAAGGATAGCTTTTATTCGACCAACGAGATTTTTGCAAAAAAAATGCAAAATAAATCAATCTTTCTCTGCAAGCTTTAAGGCACAAACACCCTTCATCAGGCATCGGAGAAAATCGAAGTTTTCCTGGGTAGAAATGAAAGTTCATGGATTTCACAGACATACAAAAAAACAGCCTAGAATTCTTGGTTCCAAAATGATACCTTTTATTAGAGCAACTGGAAAATGGCAAGAAAATTGTCCTTTTCTGCAAGCTTTCGGGATCAAAGTCCCTTCGTCAGGCTCTGGGGAAAAGTGTAGATGGTACAAGGTGATAAAAAGTCCCCATAGGTAGGAAATAGGCAACCTACACCCCCAGAGGTAGGAAATAAACTTCATTTTTGCACGGAGGGAGCTGAAGATGGAAGGCTGTCCCTCTGGGTCCAGGAGAGTGTCTTTGTGAGCTGTGCTGAGTAGCTCTTCGATGTGTTGATCAGGTAGAATTCCTTCCCTGGACGTGTCAGATGGCAGGGAGGAAGGTAAAAAAACTTCTTTGAAGTTGTTCTGCAATGAAGTTTAAAATCCACAGTTGGACTTCACAGGAGAGTCAAGAGATGGAAAACTCCTCTGGGCAGGCAGTTTATAGCGTGTATGAAGCCTCTCACCTCCTGCGAGTGTCTGCAAATTTCCTTGATACCTGACATTTCCACCTCGGAGAACTCTTACAATCCTTTTTCCTTCTCCCAGGTAGAAATGAAAGTTCGTATTTCAGAGGATTACAAGCTTTTCTCCTATGCCTGAGGAAGGGTGCTTGTGCCTAACAGCTTGCAAATAAAGATTTTTTAAAAAATTTTTGTGCAAAATTCTAGTTGGTCTAACAAAAGATAGCACCTCTACCACTGGTTCTGATTCCTTTTGCCTCTACATCAGGGGTGGGCAAAATGTGGCCCGCAGGCCACATGATGCCCACCAAGCCATTCTATCCAGCCCGCAGGGCCTCTAAAACATTTAGAAAATTAATATTTATCTGCCCCTGGCTGCTTGCCATGCAGCCCTCAATGGCTTACCAAAACTCAGTAAGCATCCCTCTGCCCAAAATATTTGCCTGCCCCGGCTCTAGATCAGTACAGCTACAACCTGGATACCATAAAGACAGCGGTGCACACTAAACAGTGCCATAGCAAGTGGGGGCAAGTGGGGTAACTGTGCCATGTGCCAAAGCAAACGGCACCAACCGGGGCTGCCCAGCTGGGGCAGAGCACAGGACAGAGATGCAGATGGCTCATTTGGGGGGCCCAGGGACAGGGGGAGAGCAGCTGCCACTGCTGTGCACACTCCCGGGCAAGCATGGCCCTATCTGTGCACGGGATGAGGGTGGGCTGCCACTGGGGGCTTTGCCCTGGGTGCCAAACTTCCTTGCCATGGTACTGACACTAAAAATCATATTTGCAAGGAGCGTCCCCCCAGTGCAGGTTCCTGGGGGCCACCTCTGGGTTCCTCTGTTGAAGTGAGAGAGGTGCTTACCCCTGCTAGTCTGCTCCTTCCATCTGCACCAGGAGCTGGTCAACACCAGACCCATCAGAACAGTCCTTTGGATTGGCTTCAAGGGCACATCTTCCTTCTTCCCAAGTGTGTAGGGTCCCATGATTCTGACTTTCCAGCCAGTAAAGGCAGGACCAGAGAAGACATGGCGAAAAGCATAGAAGTGGCCCTCGTCAGAGAGTTGGCACTGTTTAAAAAGATCTGTCATCAGGGTGACTTTGGGATTGCAGTTCTTAATACCCACGGCAGCCTCATCCTCAGGGGGTCCCTTGTATACCAGTATTTCAGACCTGTCCTAGGGTATAGGAGGTGGACAGGGATCATCTGCAGCAGAGGCTCTCTAGCAGGTAGCCAGCACCTCACTGCAGCTGTCAGCAGGGCTCTGCCCTCCTTGTCCTTACTATCCATCTTCATGTCTAGTTTCTCAGTCATTGTAGCTGTGTCGTCTTTTCTGAAGTTCACGATTGCACCAAAAAACCCTTGAATATGAGGTCCAAGAGCCAGTGACAGAAAGTTCTGGGCAGTTTCTTTCTATTAGGGCTGGTGGCAGATTTGCTAAACTTGCCAGCAGCAGGATCAAAATATCTGTCTACCAACAGCTTCTTCGTCATATCCTCTACAAACAGAAGCTAGCCCTACTAGTGTGAAATCAACCAAAGGCAGGGTTTCATAGGCATCACCATAGACCAACTAAATAAGATTATACAGGGATAGCACACAAGTTTTTCCTAAACACAAGCTCACTTTATCATCAAAATGAAGCAAACAAGATTTCATGAACCCAACTTGGCTTCATCATCACCCAGATATGAACTTGACTTCACAAAAGCTGGTGCCCTCTCTGTATCTTATTGAGTTCATCTAGAAAGGCACAAAGCAGCCCTGCCTTTTCACCTGTAAATTGCATTGGCACACTGAAGCTTGCTTGCTGTTGCATGGTAGCCTGCGGCACCCTGGAAAGGACCTCAAGGCATCCTCCCCAGGTGCCACAGCAGCCAGGTTGGGAATTGCTGCTCAAGACAGAGTTGGACCTAGCCTTTGAGGCCCCGCTGTGACCTCCTAGTATGTAGGGCACAGGGCAGGTTGTTTCAAGACTAGGAAGCTGCAGAGACACTTCCCCTCACTGTGCCCTGCTGTGAGCAGTGAGGGGTAACCCCCTCACTGGGACATGAGGCAGGCAGGGGGAGGAAGGAGACCCAGGGATAGACAGGCTGAGGCTTTCCTCCTCCTCAGTCCTTGGGCAGCTTGGGAAGGGAAGGGGGGAGGTGGCAGCTCCCAGCTCCTGGGCAGAGGACATAGTTGTGCTGGAGGGAGCAGCTCTGGAGTAGGACAGCCCAAGCTGGTGGTAGCAGGCTGCCTGCCCACCCCTGCAGAGGGTTCTTGCATGGGAAACCCCAAGTGGGGGTTGGGCCTGTGTGATGGTGTGCTTGGGCCTGAGCTGGACTTCCTCAAAGCTTGCCAGCTTCCCTGCTACAGCAAGCCTCCCTCTCCATCCTAGTACCTAGGCACCTCATACACAGTCTGGAGCATACTTATCTTCACAACACTCTGGGAGATGGGGACTGAACCACAGGAGACTGAAGTCCCAGTCCACAAGAGTAGATAGGCTCCTGAAGACCTTCAAGGATCTGGCCCTAAGTGACTGGCCCAAGCTTACCCAGGAAGTGTCCCAAAACCTGGTTAACTGCCCTTGCTGCTCCCTCTCCCTTCCAGAAACCACCTTGTTGTGATCTCTGCATCCCCAAGGACCATCTACCTGCAATACTCCTAGGCTCTCACTGCAACCTTCTCAGTCTTCTACACCCCACTAAAGACCAGATCTCTCCAGCCCCTTGTACTCACCATCCCAAATCAAGTCCACTACTCTTGGCACCCTGCAACAGCTCCCTTTTCCCACGTCCCCGGACTTCATAGATTTCATAGTTTTCATAGATTTTTAGGGTTGGAAGGGACCTTGGAAGATCATGGAATGCAACCCCCTGCCCTAGGGCAGGAAAGAGTGCTAGCGTCAGATGACCCCAGACAGGTGCTGGTCCAGTCTCCTCTTAAACACCACCAGGGTAGGGGAGAGCACCACCTTCCTTGGAAACCCATTCCAGATTCTGGTAACCCTTACCATAAAGAAGTTCTTCTTAATGTCTAATCTGAATCTGCTCTCCTTCCATATGCGGCCATTGTTTCTAGGTACTCCAAGGGGCGCCTTGGTAAACAGAGTATCTCATATTCCTTGCTGCCCCGCCATGAATTTGTAGACGGCCACCAGATCCCCTCTCAGCCTTCTCTAATAGAGGCTGAAGAGATCAAGGTCCCTCAGTTTCTCCTTGTAGGACCTTTCCTGCATACAAGTGGCTCTCCTTGACCTTCTCAAGGTTATCCACATCTCTCTTGAAGTGCGGTGCAGAAAATTGGACACAGTACTCCAGCTGCAGCCTTACCAATGCCACATAGAGGGAAAGTATCACCTCCTTAGACCTGTTTGTGATGCACCTGTTAATGCATGATAGAGTGTGGTTAGCTCTATTGATCACTTCATCACATTGTCGACTCATGTTCATCTTTGAATCAACTATGACTCCAAGATCCCTTTCTGCTGCTGTGCTGCTGAGAAGATCATCCCCCAATCTGTATGTGTGTTGGTGATTCCTCTTCCTAGGTGCAGCACTCTGCACTTATCTTTGTTGAACTGCATCCTATTTTGTTCTGCCCACCTTTCCAGCCTATCCAAATCCACCTGAATCCATTCCCTACCCTCCAATGTTTCTACCTTGCCCCGAAGTTTGGTGTCATATGCAAATTTGGACAGTGTGCTCTCCACGCTGTCATCCAAATCACTGATGAAGATATTGAACAGGATTGGCCTGAGGACCGAGCGCTGGGGGACACCACTGCCCACATCTTTCCAGGTCAATACTGACCTGCCCACCACCACTTCCTAGGTGCGTCCCGTTAGCCAATTTGCCACCCACCTGACTGTGTAATCATCTAAATTACAGCCACTTCATTTTTTTATAGGAATGGGATGTGACACCGTATCAAAGGCTTTTTTAAAATCCAAGTATGTGACATCCACCTCAACTCCTACATCTAAGCAGTTTGTAACTGGTCATAAAAAGAAACAAGGTTAGTCAAGCAGGATCTAACTGCTATGAATTCATGTTGGTTGCCCTTCAGCATTATTTTTCCTGCTGCACTGCTGCAGATGTGATCCTTAACAATTTTTTCAAAGGTTTTCCCAAG